CCCACCGCCGCTCCTCCAGAAACCGGCGATGATGGTCTAGGCGTGCCGTTCATGGCTGTCGCGGGAGGCGGCGGTCTGGGAGGCGGCGTGGCAGTGGACTTACCAGCGGAGGTCAGAGTCGTGGAGGATGCCGGCTCTGCGACGGCTTCTCCCACGGCCCCCTCCGCGGCCTTGAGCACTGCTGAGTCGCTCCCAAAGAGATCTGCCTGGCCGCCAGCACTGAACAGGTCTCCGCTTTGTTGGCTTTGCTGCTGGCCCTCGCCAGCGACGCCTGAGGTCGCCGTACCAGCCTGATGGTTAGCGGCACCCTGATCGAAGAGACCGAAAGCAGCTGCGTTCGACTGCGTAGGCTGGGAACCAAGGGATGGGAAGTCGGACATAAAAGGGTTCGGTACGGATCCGGCCGCTCCTGGAGCACCAGCTTGCGCAGAAATCAAGGTGCAATTTTAATTAGCTTTTTCTTTAATGCTGAGGTTAATTGGCGTTGAAGATTTTTTGGGGTTTGCTTGTGTGTTATACTTCGTCACCGTACACGAGGCGCCTTGATTTTTTTTTTTTATGAGTATGATTGAATTTATGGTGCAACAATGCCTCTTATCATTGGTGGTAATGCATGTCTCTGATGCTTGAGAAGTTAATTTCACAGAGAAGCGAGAATGAATAAAAGCGTACAGATCAATCAGGTGATTAGTTACTCTTCTTCGAGATTCCCCCTTAGGTTACTTCACAGGCATCACCTATGAATCTAAATGATATAGTATGATGCAGAGAAAAGTATGATACAAAGTCTACAGCGAAAGACTCTTCACCATGGAGAAAAGAATGAGTATGCACAATAATTGTTAACACTGACAGAAAAATAGAGATTGGTGCATAATCTGACTCAACAAGTGGTAGAGAATACAATATTTGATCTTTGCAAGAGAAGAGAAATGGTGGAAGCACTCACCAGATTGAGAGTCTTGATTACCAAATACGGAAGAGAAACTGTTATCTGTAACAAAGTTATTATTTGCCGGGGGCACTGCAGCGAAACCTACAAATTAAAAAGTAAAAACAATTCGATGAGACTACAAATAAAAAGATGATTATCATGACAATATTTGTCAAATAAATCAAAATAATGCAATGATTAAAAGTGGAAAAAAAAAGAAAAAAACTAACTCGTATTTACCATTACCGTTAGTCATCCACATGTTGTTTTGTGATTGTGTGGTTGGCGCAGCCACTGACTGAGGAGCTCCAAACATGTCCGCAAACGGATTGCCTGCCAACTGGAGCAGATCGTCCGACGCTTTCTGCGGCTGCAAAACAGAGAGTAACTTATAGAGAAATTAACAATTAGATTATCATATTTATTACTGAGGTAGGTTAGTTGAGAAATTGTGTCTCATATTATCCAACAAAATCATTCTATTAATTTTTCTAGAAATCTTCTTAACTATTTCACAACTAACAACGACATTAAAGACGTTGTTATCAGAAAAAAAATTGTTAATAAGTTGAAAATATTATGTACACTTTTTAACCATGATTTCTTTTCTTTACCTGATTTTCAGTGCCCGCCGTCGTGGATGGTGCACCAAAGAGGTCCACTATTGGCTGATTGGCGTTGTTCGTCGGCGAACTGAGGAATGGATTCGTGCTGGGACCGCTCGAAGGTGATTGCACTTTTGCCTGATAATAAAATACAAAAGATAAAACTATCTGGAACATTTTATCTCGTGTATAATTGCTATTTGAATCGTTTCTTAATACCTTGTATTGGTTCATGGCGGCCTCCTCTTCCGCGAGGGCCTGCTGCCTTAACGCTTCGTCAATGTGTCCATTCCCAGCGTGGTCAAGTCGATTATTACTGGCTGCTGTTCCAAACGCGGTACTGGTGGAAGACAGGGCGGACACTCCCGACTTTACATTCGTTCTATTGCTGCTTAGGTAATGATTGGGCAATGGATGCGTGTCGATGAAGAATAGTGGATTCACAGAGGAAAGGAGAAGCCAGTATTCAGCGTAGACAAGTGTGGAAGGCGTTAGGAGCGAGAAGAGGAACGTTGATCATTGAAAACAAAGGAGAAGACAAACAAAAAAACAAAGAAACAGTGTAGTACGTATAAAGATAAATAACGATGTGTAAAAATTCAGCTACACAACAATTGTGCTCACGCTCACGCACACGTATATAGTCACAGACACACTCGTATATAGTATAGTATTTACGATACATGCGTAACGTTAGCTTTCTTTTTTATATCACAGACTCTCTCTGTTATTTTTATACAGATTTTGTACTAGTTACGAAATCACACAAGCAGTTAATTGACGTGGTACTACCAAATATATCTTACAATGGAAATGAAACAGAAAAGAGAAAGAGATAGAGAGAGAAAAAAAGGAACAAAATAGAAACACACACTTTCTCATTTGCTACTGGCTACGATACGCACGCACGCACGCATATGTACAAATTAATTCTCGGTGCAGGAAAATATCACCTAGCTTCTAATTCATTATCTTCTTTAAATTTGAAATCACATTGAATTTCAGTGATAAATTCATTTGAACACTCGCTGTAAGTTGTAATCAAAAGGTGGATTGAAAGAAAAACACAGACACGTGCAATAATCAGCGATAAAGTATCTAAAAAGAAGAAAAAAAAAAGAAATTATCTGTGATAAAACGTAAAATATCTTGAACTTGGCGAGCTAAGTGAAATTTCTGCAAAAAGACTTCGATAAATATTTGTATACAACTGTTGTCTAGAAACCATAAAAAGCAAGGAATTCTTTGGTAACCAACTGAACACGCTTAATAATTGTCGCTATAGAGCGCAAAACAGAAGACAATGAGGAATTAAGAAAGAAAAGAAAGAGAGGAGACGGGAAGAAGAGAAAGAAACTTCTAAACGAAAAAAGAAGCACATGTTCCCAAGCAATAGAAAACAAATGGCAACATTACCTTTTATACCCTACGAATTTACAAAACATTTTGCGAGGAGAAATAGATATGATTGTCGGTCGGATAAAAAAGTGGGATTTGCTTGTCATCTTTATATGTTTCTGAATTTGCAGCAGAAAATAGTAGCAAAGGAAAAAGTCTGATGGGATTCGATGCCTATTATGTAACTGTACTTCTCGATATTCTATCGTGATTCATAGTTCTAATTTAAAAAAATATATTTCTTTCCAAGTGTATGAAAATACCTTGGTCACAGTTTTTCAAATATGTTTTACCTTTGAACATTTGTTAACAGACGAATCGCAAAATATTCCTCAAAATTAGTAATTTAGTTCCTACTCTGATTGTTAACATAAATTCCAAGTGTTTAAATAAACTATGATCAACATACCTTGCTGATTGTGTGGGAGTGTTGGCTGCAGAGCCTTTCTTTCCCTCCAACGAAGCAAGATGCTGTTCTAGCGCGTCTAACAAGCTACTTGGAGCCTAAAAAATGTCCATTTATTTAAATCTGACCTGAAAACCTACTTTACATAAAAATTAGGCATATTTTAGATTACCAGATGATTCCAATTGAGTCTCATTGTCTTACCTTTGTTAGATCAGGTATGTCTCCTTTATCAATGCCCACATTCTGTAAAATTTGGTACAATTAATATCTAAGATTTCAATGTTAAATAATTTTAACTCACCTCAGCAACTTTCAAGAATTCCCCAACCCGATCCATTCGTATAAGAAACTTCTTGTACAGATCCAGAGCCTCTCTACACTGTTTTTTGTTCATATCGAAATACTTTTCTAAAATTTAATAAGGCAAAAATTATTTAACTTGCATAGTATTTGGAGAAATCAGATAATTAGTACAATACCTAGCAAATTAATAATGCCATCATTGTAGCAGGCAAACAGCCTGATCAGATCTCGAAAGAGAAGCATGAAAGCCATGTTTATGACACCGTTTGTGAGTTCATTAGAGGTACAATCGAACTCCAACAGAGCATCCAGCTGTGATTGCAACACTGGCAAAGTTTTCAACAGCTTCTCAGCGTTCATTGTGCGTAAAGTACGGTCGTCCTTTCTAGACACACAATTTCAAAACAAATGAATCATTTTCTAATTAATCTAAAATGTAAACATGTATTCTGTTTCTTCACTGATTAAAGTGCTTACCCTCTCTTCACCTTACAAAAGTCAAACGCCACAGTCCTGTAGGAGAGAGCCTTCTCATTGAGGTACTTAGCATATCTCCTGATAAATGGTGACATGTCATATCCTAGCAAATGAAGAGTCCATGTAAAAGAAACGTTTCTTATCTGTTGATATTTTAAAATAGTTCAAAAGAGACTTCCAAGCAGGATGAAATGAAAGTAACATTCAGTTTTCTGAGAAGGAGACAATAGAGATGAATTTAAAGTTCAATGTGCAAGTACAGACATCTGAAATGCATGCAAGTGCAGCACAAGTGTAAGAAGCAGGCACAGGCCTTGTTAGAATTATTGATGCTGACATACATCATAGTCTCCTCCATGAAAACTGAACATATATAGAAAAACTACATGTGAAAACTTTAGAATTAAAAATTCCAGGAGTATTGATTCACCAGCAGAATATCTAGAGGACTGACTATACTTAGTCATAATCAAACCAGAACCATGGATTCTGAATGACGATAGTGAATAGAGATTTTTGATACAATACACATAAAAAATTAAGAATGGAAAGAAAGACAAATTACCAAATGTTAATACAATATTTTTTGATTGTCCATTGACCAGTGAAAAGGTTAAATAAAATGTTAAGTGAATTCAGACAGAGGCATTAATATCAAACAAACATTCACATATCAATAATAGGTAACAATGGAATGCTAACTCACCAATACGAGCTCCTGCTGTGCCCAAATAGAGAGAAAATTAGTTCCAGGTTAGTAAATCATAGACAGAGGCCAGATACAGATAGCTGCACAATGCTAGGAAGTTAGCCAGGAAGAACTTATTATCAAATCTCTAATTTGAGAGAGTAAAAATGTGAGTACATTTGTTAGAAACAGTTGATCCTTTGATCCTCTATGATCAATATTACAACAATGAAACTACTTTAACATTAATTGTGTTAATAATTAATTCAGACACTTTAACTGCAATTAAAAACTTTGATTTAATGTATACAATACAATAAGATATTTTTTATACTTTTTAAGGTAAAAGATGCTCAATGTTACAGTTAAAGAATTGAATCGTAGAATTCTATGGTATTGTTAAACACAGAACCATAAATCTCGTGTAACAGTGCTCGCGTGCGTGCTGCATTCAGTATAACTTGATGTTATTTCTCACCAGAATTGTTAATAGATTGTAAGAAATGAAAGCAACAACAAAGATAAACTTGGAAACTTCATGCACTTCTGTAATGGCCCAATTAAGATCACCATTCTACCAGATTATTATCTTTTATTGAAATTCAATTTACTAGTAATTTTATATATATTTATTTTGTTTATCATGTAATTGTTATTTCATGAGTTGAGAGAAATTTCATTTATCATATTTAAGATTCTACCATGTATATTCTTAACATTTCTAAATTCAGTCATGAGACATTGATTTCAGAATTAAAAAGAATAAGGAGCAATGGGCAATGACAGGGAGATAGCAGGAATCAAACATCTAATTGAACCAGTAGACAGAAGTTAATGCAAGAAGATTCTTTTAAACAATGTGGTTACCTTGCACACCGCTTTTATCGAGAAAAACACTGAGCTGAAATGTGCTGTTGCTGGATGCCAAATACTGTGTAAACCTCTGCAACAGAAAGGTCATGGTCCTTGTTGATATCATTCATCTATATCTTTCTTTCGTTTTTCATTAATTTTACTTTTAAAAAAAGTCATCCATTGAAGTACCATGAATAAACTGTGCTACGCATTAAAACAAAAGACAGTTTCACGGGATTACGTGCGTTACCGTCCCCGTAGAGCGACTCTGTCCGAGGAAATGACTATGTTGCAGCTGCTGTTTCTATTGAATTGCATGTATAAATCGTAAATGTTAGACTCTGGTCACGGATTCGTGCTATTGGATCCCGTGTGCATGTTCACACACAGCGACTAGCAAGGGTGACGACACTTCCCCTCTCAGCTCATTACTGAACCGAAATGAGTTGGACAACCTCGCCGAACGAATGTAAATAATACTCTTTAGAATTCTCTTAAACAATAAAACTTTTTTCCAGTTACAAACATAGTAACTTTGATGGCTTTAATTAATCAAATTATCAGCATTAACAATTTCCGAGTAACAGAGACGATCATCAAGCTTCAAGAGTCAATTAAGCGAGAGGCAAGAGAGTATTTTCTCAATTAAATAACAGAATCCTTGGCTATCTTGTTCGTCGAGTGGTCAGAGAGGGAAAGAAAGTTCGTCTGATTGGCTTTAAGAAGCCACTTATCGAGAGAGCCACTCTCATGCTCCTACAGATCCTGTTCTGCATTGCAAATTACAGCGAGAGAGCATGGTTTTTACCTCATTGCCGTAACAAAGCATATGGTGCACCGTAATCAAAGCTTTGAAAACAACTGTCCAATTCGTATTCTGAGACCGTTCTATCAGCAGATTCGCCAGCTGGGGTATCGACACATTCGGCTCGTTGGTGCACCGCACCAGATCTGAAATAACCATTTTTACCATCAGAAAATTCTTATATTAAACAATATATAAAAATATTTTAGATAAAGTTATGTAGAACACCCTTTAGATTTTATTCATATATATATAAAAATGACTAATTAAGGACTTTCCAAAAATGAATTTTTATGTAACTAAAACGTGATTGAAAAATTAGATTCATATCGATACAAATAGTAGTATACAAAATCAGAAAGTTACAAACGATAATACTACCAATATCGAACATTCACTTTTCTTGGAAAGTTGCTAATAGGTCGTTTTGAGCCGGCAGGTACTTCTACTGTTAATCGAAAATAATTGGTTAACAGAATTATGTACATATAAATTTTTTTATTGAATATATACATATGTAAGTATGTACCCTAAAATATATAACCTAACCTATCATCTAAAAAATTTCTTTCGATTAAAAGAAAACCAAGGTATCAGTTTCCAATAAAACCATTAAACTATCATATCGTTTCTTTCCTGTTGCTAACAGAGTGTAGCATTGAAAAAACGAGGAATTATAATCTCTCTCATTGTTTTTCCTGCATCTATAAAAGATACGTCTTCAACGATGCACAAGAAAAGCAGTAACGATCCCTAATTGAAAGAGCAAAGCGACAACCTATCGATTCCGCATCGTCTATCGCGAGAAAAATACGTAACAGCCACGAACCAGTTCTCCACGGGGTGACTCATAATTTCCAACTATGTTTTCCTATTCCATTCATCTTTCAAACCGCGTAATAAAATAATCAATTTATTTGATCGAAATTATATTTTCTCAAAGGGGAAGTTCCACACCACCTGGTGCTGAAGGAAGGCGTTCTAAAATTAGTTCCGCACGTTTCATACCAAGATAAACATGTTCTACAATGTTTCTGATAGTAGAATGCGAAGTATAACGTTATCTTGGTCGACAAAAATGGCTACGGATCACGAAGCAATTTTGCAATGTATGTACCTCTAAGAATAACGGACACACCACGTGCGTTCTTTCCACTCGAAAATCTTCCATCTCGATTATTTCTTATTTCTAAGGCTACAATGAGAGATCCGTAAAGTTCCTAAAAGAAATACTTTGGATTTTCTCTTATTGTTTCGTGGACTTTAGACAATGTAAAGCTACAGAGGGTTGAATAATGTGTGTGTCGCGCTATCTTCCCATTTATTTTCAGTAAAGAAAGTCGTACCTGTCAGGGCCGATGCCAAAACGTTCTCGACCTTGTCGCGCATCCTCTCTTCTAATAATGTACTCTCGAAACGAGAAGTCGTGTCCCATTCAGTGGCGTTCTACTATTTATAAAAGACGAGAAACCACGCAGTTTCTTGCGTGTACATACCAGCAGAGTGTAATAAGAGATAAAATGCCCCTGAGTCAGGGGCCCTGACCATTTATAAAATTCACTAATCGATATTTCGACATGGTGTGAACTTGTAAAGCAAAATAAATGTATAGGTGTTGGGGTTTTTTGAGATTAAGGTTCGAAACGACTGATATCAGGTTTCGTATTTATTTACCTTCTTCTTTCAGCCTAGATACGCAGCTACACACACTTGCGCTGATACTTACAAAGGAACATCCCGAAGTGATAATCACCGATTTTGATAAAATTTTAGTACGCAGTAGATCTAAAAGAATATTCGACAAGTAATTCTTCTTTATCGACGGTCGTTCACATTGAAGGGGTGAGAATCATTTTCAAAGTCGAGGGTAGTAAACGTACTTAATTCAACATCTCGAAAACTATTAGAGATACAGAAGTGGTGTAAATTAACGAAATTCTGAACGACGAATGTGATTACGTAAACAGATTTAAAAAAAAGTATATACATTTGTTTAAATAATATACTAAAACTTATAACTTTTTGGTTAATTTTTCTGGTAAAATATTTATCGATTTTCGTGTAAACTTGTATATGTAAATTACATATCCAAATACAAAATACGGGTAAATCAAAATTTTGATTTCCTGCAAAGTAACAAAATTATTGCTCTTGAAATTTGCTAATACAGGTTGCTTTCTCACAGGAGAACAAAATTTGACTAGTTAATTCTGAGTATGACTGTGGACAGAAAATGTTCTAAAAACATATCGGTAAAACTCAATATCAAGGAGATACTGTTAATGAAAATTGCGATTTTGACGTGTTGCGATGAGCTAACTAAATCAATTTTTATCACAGGGACTATTAGCCGTATAGACGTAACTTTCTTTTCATTTTACTCCAGAGAGTTTGATTTTTCTGAACCATTGTTTCAAAACACAAGAAGTTATCTATTTCACCTAAAAATTATAAATAAATTTAAATTTTGCAAATTTCTTGGTAAAATACAAATTAAAAAATTTGAAAAAAATATTACATTTCCTGAAGTCTTCTTTATAAAAATTTCTTTGTAAAATATGTAATAAAAAATTTGAAAAAAATATTACATTTCCTGAAGTCTTCTTTATAAAATGTCAATATTCTGTATGTGATTTATATGGGTTGAAAGGACTTGGGTAGAAGGCCGAGGCGTTCGGGCTCGTACCACGCTAGTGTATCTTCTGTCACGGCTTGCCGTAGACCTCCCGCAGTCCCTACAACAAAGGTCCGCACCGCAAAATTTCAATACCTGGGGTATTAATTTCGTCTATTGGAAAATAACTAACACATAGTATAATACACTCGGAAAACCTGTAAATACGTACAGTTTTTCAAATCTACATGCTATATATAAGCCTCGAACTAATATAAAATAAGAGTAAATTTTAAGAATAATTATTTCTTTTATTTTGCAAAAAATTCAAATTCTGGTTTGTCCAGATTATTTCGTATTTAGGTATGTAATTTATATACACACATTTGCATGAAAATCAATAAATATTTTACAAGAGAAATTAATAAAAAAGTTATAATTTTTAGTAATTATTTATACAGATGGACTTTTTTCAAATCTGTCTACGCAGCCATATTCGTCATACAAAAATATAAATTTTGTCAATTTACACCACCTCTCTATCTCTAATAGGTTTCGAGATATTGAACTAAATATGTTCACTACTTCGACTTTGAGGGCGATTCTCACCCCTTCAATGTGGACGATCGTCGATAAAAAAAAATGCTTGTCGATTTTTTTTTTCCCTTTTTCGAAATCTACTATTTATCACTTCGGGATGTACCCTTCCTTGTTAGGTCAAACACAAACGAATAATATACATACTTATGTTCTATTCAATTCTAACCTAAATTTTCCGAAATATTAATTTTTAAAATTTTTTAATTCTCTCAGAAAAAAAATTTGCTACGTGCGTAACAAAAATCGATGAAAGAGACCTACCAACCCGACCCCTGTTTTTTTCCACGCTATTTTAAAAATAAACAACGAGGATGAACAACATGTTTATAACGGATCCGCCGATCAGAACGGAAGAAACCTGATGAATCGAACGGTTGTTCAGAGACAGAACGTGGAATGGAGAAGAACGCCATAGTTATCGAGATTTATCTGAAAGTTTGAAGGGGTGTGCGCGTTGAGATGTTTTTCCCGAGTGCAGACTCAAATGGGGGCGTTACCGATAACGTGTTTTGGTAAAACGATAGCCGTAGCAGTCGTACATTATCAAAAAAAGACTGAACTTTCACATTATTGCAAAATACGAACATCCAGCTGCCTCGTTATTACGTCACTTTCTTCTCTGATATTTCACTTTCAAAATTTCATACATATAACCTCTAAAAAAAATTTCTAAAAATAATTGACAATTCTTAGCCGAAAAAGATCACTATACACTATGAATTTACTTCCACTCGTTAAAATGTTATAATAAAAATAATATAACGTCGTGTTTTGATTTTTGTAAATATTTAATTTTTGACAATTTAAAGTAATTACGGCAGCAGAAGTCACGCAAAAAAAGAAAAAGAAAAAAAAAAGAGGCAGTTGTGCCATCCAGCATGGTCACCGTAATTACAGGCGCCCTGGAAATGGAACGGACCGAAAGACAGCAATTATCATACAAGAAGAAAAAGAATCGTGCAAAGAACTACAAGAAATATCGATAGCAGCGGCGGTTCATCGTACAATGCCCAGTAACTAAATTGCACAATTCGACAAGACACAGAACACATTACCACAGGTATATTTTCCACGCATAATAAATCGACGACTTACGTAAACGTACGTCGATAATGAATGAATTCATCACGAGTCGTTGAACGAAACAGAATTACGTAGACAATAACAATATTTCAATACTTATAGCTTTTACTGTTGTATTTTGTAACCTACTAATATAGTACGGTAGACCGTACTGTACTTTTACCTGAAAATTTCTCGCTCTACATTTATAATAAACAATATTTCATTTCCAAATATTATTCTCAGACATGTTGTTCCGTAACTATTTTTTAACTGTACATCATTGATATTCCTAACACGAGATATTCTTTGTTAAGTATTCCAGGAAAATTGTGTATCCACGTTTGAGTATAATTAATTCTATTAGCAATAGGGCAATTACAGATTGAAGGAAATGTTTTAACACAAAATGTTCGTCGATAACAATGTATAGTGGTGATTTTTACTATTGAATTCCAAACAATCAATGCTATTTTTAGAACGACAAGTAATCACTCGAATGAGCGAAAAGATCGCGAGGTCATCGTCTGGGAATCAAGTGTACGATCGATAGACGGAATCTCGGACGAAAGCTACCCAGGGAGCATTGCTAGTGAGCATGTGCGAAATATATGCGTTTAGTCAATACACATAACCCTCAATTTAAACAATTAAACGATACTGCGTAAACCAACATATCATTTTTGTAAAAAAATAAAGGCTAAAGCTGAAAAGTTGCATTATACATTCCTGTCCCTGACCCTAAAAAATAACTAAGGCGATGATGCTCTTGTCGCATTTTTACCGACATGGATCCGCTTCGTTGCCTCTGGAAACAATCGTTTCCCCCTCGAGACTGATGGAACAACGAAGAATTGAAACTTTCTCGAAGATATAATTTTTCGATCGACTTTCCTCGAGGAGAAAGAGGCGCCTTAATTGTTGCGTCACGCTTTATGCAATCCGTTAACCAACTTTCACGTGAACTAATGCAAACAAGATGCAAATATCATTTACGAAGAGGAATCCCCTCCGTTTGATATCAATTATCGGTACACTGTGATTCATAGAAACAAGAAGTTACGGTGATGTACATTTCTTTGAATCTATCTGTGATTGAACCATAAATGATGAGTTTAAATAAACATCAGACCGCTCGTAATAATATTCTAACCACACAATTGTAATCGCACTTGTTATTATCACTCTTACTGTCTATTGGTAACGAGACATTCTCAAGTGAAAACGGTATGATTACTGATAACCGTAATACCAGTAGCAGATTATGAAATGAGAAAGAGATTTTTTACATGTTTCTCAGAATAAAGGACACATTTTAGTCTGATAAAGGCTCATTT